AATAAAATAATATATTTTTAAATTATATATAAAAATAATATATTCTTAAAATTAATATATTTTTAATATATAAGAAATAATATATTTTTATTTTTTAATTAAACAATATATAAAAGTAAGTTGAATTTTTTTATTTGAATTTCATTATATATAAAAATAAAAATATATTTTTAATAATATATATTTTTAATATTTTTTATTTTATAAAATAATATTGGTTAATATATTTTAATCATGATTTATAATATATATTATATATTTATTTTTTATTATTTTTTGTTAATTTAATTTTTTGAAAAATTGATTCCTACACACATGAGAATGAAAAAACCTTCCATGAACTAAGGAATGGCTAATCCCATGGAGATGGGTTTTGTCATTCCAATGGGAATGATCATTCCTTTAAATAATGTATACCAATCATAGGATAGGGAATGAATGAAAAAATGATCATTTCATTCCCATGTTATTCCTTCATACCAATCATGCCCTATATGTTTATAACATGGAATGATTAGGTGAGATTCTTGGACTTGGAGGATGAGTATATATAGAGTAAAAGAACTACCCTATGAACAACAAATATGCTGAAATAGATTGTTGCTATGCTATGTAGGTCTTCATTTAGTAAATTAAGATCTTTAAAGATTTGTCATATCTAAGCTACCACACTGCAATATCAACCTTAAGTAATATTTTGACAGATAGCAAGTATATATTTTTCTTTTCTATCCTGTTGGGAACTATGAGGATCTCTTTATGCACAAATCACGAATTCAATAGCAAAACGTAAACCTATGCGCAGCGAATCTAAAGGTTTGCGTAGAGAACTTACGGCTTAAAATTTATGTCGATCTGGCTGATCTTTTGGATGCCCGTACACAGCACACCAATGAAAAGTAGACTGCAAATCGCGTCCTAGGGTTGCACGAACAAGATCGGATCGAAAACTGAATCAAACGGGTGCGAAAATGGAAGAAGACGAGTTGCAGTCCTAGGACACTCCGGCGACGAATGAGGGTGCGTGCGGCGTTGTACGGCGGCGATCTCGGCAGCATTGGAAAGCTCTCGTCGAGACGGTCGTCTGGGTATGCTGCACATCTTGATCGGACCTCCGGTTAGTTCTCTACAGCAAAATATATTTCGTCTCAGTTTACCTACAGATCTTCTACTGTATGTCTCAAACACCTCTTAATCTTGTACCGGTGGAACAACAAGAAGAAGATGAAGCTCGAATGGGAACTGAGAGAGAGAATATCGTGTGGGGCGTGTTTCACGAGTTGTGGAATTGTGTTCTCTTCCCATGAGCTTATGATGTATATATAGAGCTACAGTAGGGAACCTTAGGAGATTAGGAGAAAAGCTCCTTAATTAATTAAAATCTTTGTGGACCAAGCCACTTATTTTAATTAATTAAATAATCTTAAATGGGTCACTAACATAATATTATTGCACTCCCTTTTCCTAGTCCAATTTACAATTGAGACTCCAATAATAATTACTCGGTTTATCTCCCCATGTTTAAGATATAATGTTAATTAATTAATTCGATTACTGACAATCAAGAATTAATTAATTTATTATTATTTCACCGAAGCTACCGCTCGTTCATCACATTATTACTATGCCGAAATTTAATCCACCTGCAGGGTTTAGCATAATAATCCTTCATGAACTCACTCTGGGGACATCATCAAACTAACGCACATGGTGACCGTAAATATCCTAACAGCACATCCTACATGCAGCAATATTACCCAAGACAGCGGGTCTATTGGCCCAGTTCACTAAGCCTCACCCATGTGAATCAAAGTAATAAGTACTGCACATATATGCTTGTTTAATATCTTACGGGTTAAGAGTACGCAGTAATTAACCGAGGCCTAGTTCGTTTACGACGATCAATATAAAACGAACTGCTCCTCTCTGGGATCCTGTTCAATACATAAATGTACTAATGCAACTAATCAGTCAAGACAAACTGTACGATTGATACTACAACCGTTCACGATGGGGTGTTCATGTCCATCTAGGTTGTGAACCAATTATTCTTGTTTCGCGAGTAACCGATAACATGATCTTCGGTTCGTCCGATGATGACCCACACTATCTAATGCAAAACAACAGAACGTAGAACTTATTTAATCTAACATGTTTCTCATTCATAAAAGGTAAAAGTGTAATAACATCCAAAGCCAAACTTTCAGTACATAACACTAACATATCTAACATAAACCTTTGTGAAATCACGAGCCATTGAGTGTAATCATTTTAAAAGCATGGTCAGCACAATGAAATGATTTATCAGTAAAACAGGTTATACACGGCAACATCAATTTGAGGAAGACAAAAATAATTTGAAAAAGAAGAAAGTACATAAAGTACTTATATAGAAATGGGGCATGGACATCCAAATTTGTGTTGCTCGGTTTTCATTTCCTTGACTGTAAGTAATATGT